TTTTTTTTTTTTTTTTTTTTAGCTAAACAGTCACTATGATGATGTTGTGTGATATCACAAGTAAATAAGGCCTTTGCTCTCAAATAGAGCCAGGGCAGAGAAACTCAGGTGTTTCAAAACCAGATCTAGGGAAACCTGAAGCTAAACCCCAGCTGCATTCTCTTGCTGTTGATTGCCGTATGTCTTTTTTTCTTCTCATTAGATGGATATTGTGTCTAACTGTATCTAGTACAAATGGATATGCTGATTTTACGTTCAGTGATGTTTCCTTGGAGACAGTTGTCATCCTCTTGAATTGTGACTTTCTCATATCATAATTTATGTCTCCCTGTTGATCTCAGTGATGGCAGCTGTCTAAGTGTGAATCTGACCACAGAAAAATCAAATTGGTTTTATCAGAAAAATAAAATCCAGATATGACTTGACCCTTCAATGCAGCCATATGGTCCTTTGTACTGAGTATTGAACACTTCTGTGAGCAGGTATGTCCCTGGTGCCGGAGGTTAGATGGTTAGGTCAAGTGCTGGGAGCCCAAGATCTAGGATGACATGGCCTGCTATCCCCAAAGCTTAGTATGTGCCGCAATACCATTTACCATTGCTGTTCTCCAAAGTGCCAAGAGAGAGGGTGCCTCTAGCTAGAGGAGATATGCTCTTTGGTGCTCTTCAAGGCAATAAGCATCTTCTTTTGCAGGACAGAGGTTCCATTCAGACAATGAAGCTCAGCTGGGGAGAACACATTGCTCCTTTTGCACAGGGCCTGTGAAGACACTGGAACTGACCCCTAATGAATTCATGCGGTTGGGTGACAAATAAAACTTGACGGGCTGTCACAATTCTGCATTGACTTGCTGGATTTAAATTTGGAGAGCTCTGTTCAACGGCATACTTTCCAAGGTGGCTATCATTTTGAGGGCTCTTCAGGGCTGCAATGGCTTGTGAGCGGATCAGGCCTTGGTGGTGGTCTAGTCCAGGTATGCAGAAAAAGGTGGTTGTTGATTTTTTTAAGGCAGATGATTCCCTCCGCCCTCTGTGAGCTGTATGACATTGGGTGCATATAGCCACGTGCCTGATACATCCCTCTCTGAGCTGGAACGCTTCACTTGGCCCTGCTCAGCTAGGATAACCTAGTCAGAATTAGAGCACCTAATGAAATTCTAATGTGAGTAAAATACTTGCATTACCTGCCGCTGGCCTCCAGGAGACGCTGTTCAGCTGACTTCAAGGGCAATGCCAACAAGGGCTGTCACAGAATATTAAGAAAACAAAAATCATGACTACAGACGAATTACAGAACTTTACTGTTAACAATGAAGAAATTGAAATGGTGAAGGATTTTACATACCTTGGCTCAGTCATCAACTCAAATGGAGACTAGTCACAAAGTTCAAAGAAAATGGAGGATGGAAAGGGCAACAATGAAGGTATCATCCAACTTGCTGCTCCGTCCAGGACCGCAAGTGAAAGCACCCCTGGCAGACGGCTGTCCAGCTGCCCCTTGAGTGCCTCCAGTGCGGGAGAGCCCAGCTCATCGGCTCCACTGTGGCACTATTCCAACCATCAGGATTTTTTCCCCTAATATTCACCCAGAATCTGGCTTCCTGTAACTTCAGCCCATTATTCCATGTCCTGCACTCTGGAATGACTGAGAAAAGATTGATTCTTCTGTGTGACAGCTTTTCAAGTATTTGAAAAGTACTGTCCATCATATCTCCCCTCAATCTTCTCGAGGTGAAACATGCCCAGCTTTTTTAATCTCCCCTCCTAGAGTTTTGTTTGCAGTCCCTCCATCGTCCTTTTTACCGTCCTCTGAACATTTTTCAGTTTGTCTTCCACTTTCTTAAAGTGTGGTGCCCAGAACTGGTCACAGTACTCCAGATGGGGCCTACCTAGTGCCAGATAGAGGGGACCCAGCAACTCACATGATTTGGAAACTATCATTCTTTTTATGCAGCCCAATATAGTTTTTGCCCTTTTTTGCAAACACATCACATTGTTGACTCATATTCAACCTGTGACCTATGACCATTTCAAGAGCCTTCTCATTTGGAGCATAGTTGAGCCAAGTATCTCCCATCTTGTAACTGTGCATCTTGTTCCATTTTCCTAAGTGAAGAACTATAGAATTTCATTCTGTTACTTTCAGCACCAGCAATCTAGCCTATAAACATCACTCTGAATTTTGCTTCTGTCTTCCAGGGTATTAGATATCCCATCCAGTTTTGACTCATCTGCACTTTTGATCAGTATTCCCTGCACCTCCTCATCCAAGTCATGAATAAAAAAGTTGAGTCCTGGGCCCGGTGGTGCCCACCTATTACCTCTCCCCAATCTGAGAGGGTACCACTGGGAAGCACTCTATGAGTCTGATTCTGTAGCCAACTGTGAATCCACCTGACTGTTGTTCCATCCAGCCCACTTGTAGCCAGTTGGCTGATCAGAATCCCATGGGGCACTTGTCAAAAGCTTTGCTGAAATGACGTTATATTATGTTCGTGGCATTCCTGTACTCCGCGAGAGAGGTTACCCAATCAATAAGATCAGATTAGTTTGGCAAGATAAATCCAGAACTAGAAAAGATCATCAGATGGAAGGATATTTCACTGGAGGCCAAGGCCAAGATCATCCACGTGATTGTATTTCCACTTACCGTGTAAAGATGTGAAAGCTAGATGGTGAAAAAAGCTAGCAAGAAGAAAAGTGATGTGTTTGAACCATGCTGGAGGAGATCTTTGCAAATAACAGACAAATGGATCCTAGATCAACTCAAACCAGAGCTTTTCCTGGAAGCAAAACTGACAAAACTGAGCCTGCCATACTTTGAGCACACTGGGGAGGCAAAACACCTTGTCCTTCCCAAAAAGAAACACGAATCTGTGCGTACACACCTCGCCTTTTTGTCAAATCTTGCCTGAAGAGCTGGAGAGGTAACTGCTTGCACATTCTCATGCACGGTTTTAGTTGCATGAGAGTTTAAAGATGTGCGGATTTTGGGATTTTTCTTATGGCCAACACAGCTACCTTAGCTTTTTGCAAGGCTCAGTTATAAATGGGAAAGATAAAAGCAAATAGTGCGTACCACACCAAAAATACAAGCAATGGCTATTTCATGCACACAATGCCCTGAGACGCAGCTCATCATGTGCTGGCAAAGAAGGTGAAAGGCCCCATTTCCCTGGTCCCTCTTACGTGCCTCTGAATCTTTGCCCTGTACACTGGGGAAGCAGGCAGTTTTAAAGCCCACATCAAATCCTAGCTCACCATTTGGGCACGGAGGTACTTGCTTCCAAGTTGGTTCCAGGCAGCAAGCCAAGTGTCCCATGGCCCTGCTGAAGTTACGGCCCACTTAATCTCCCTCTCTTCCGGCCAGCTGCCAGGATAAACCTGCCACCAATGGCTATTGGGCTGGCAAAGAATCTGCTGTCGAGTCTACCTGGGCAGGAAAAGGAGGCATCGGAACAGACAGCAGCACATCTGACTGCATATCTTCAGTCAGAGACGCCCATCTCTGCATGTGGTTGGCACAGGGAATGGATGATGAGGTCGCTGCTCTGACACTGTTGGGCGCCTGTCCCAAGCAGAGACTCTGGGATACCCTAACAAAGCAGGAGGAAGGGCATCCGTCTTATTTGGCCCTATGGGCACATTC